ATATATATATATATATATATATTCCTTCCTAATAATTGGACACTAATTTTATATGCCTCTCAAATGAGTGTATTTTTCAACATTTTATTGTAAATCTCCAAACTATTTAAGTTTATTTTCAATTATTTTATCTTGAATAGATGCAACTCCAAAAACTTCTCAACTACAATATTTTCACAAATTATCAATCCTAATTTTTCCATCCATCCATCTTAACATTCTCATTACCGCACTACTAAAGTTAACATCAGCATATTAGTTTATTGCCTGCACTTGGATCCTTAATAGACTATACAATAATAGGTTTGTCAAGTTAAAGGGTATGTTGATTTGAAATTTTCCAACGCTGCACTATAGGAAAGGAAACAACCAAGCATTTAAGGTAGTGTTTAGATGCAATTTTCTCCCTTTTTATGGGAAGTAGCTGGTCAGAAGCTGCCATCAAAAGAAATTGTGGGTAAGGAAGAACATTTTTTATGCAAGTGTTTGCAGAAAACAACATGTCTTCTGTCTAAAGAATCCCTTAAGCTTTTAAGAAACCCTAGGCATTCAAGTCAGTCCCAATAAAGGCTAACCATTCATCTATAGGTCAAAAAAAGCGACCATGCATACCTTTAGAGACTCCTAGGTGCCAAAAATTAGAGATTATCATCAATAATGAACTTTCGCTCATTACTAACTGCTTCCATCGGTTACCAAATCCACCTATTTTCTCAAGTAATACAGTCAATGGTGTAGGTTTTTTTTTTTTATTTTCCCTAAATTTGCTTAAATAATTTTCATAGTTATTGATAAAAAAATGTATAATTTGGTAGTTCCACTTTAAAAATGATTAAGTGCCCTTCTCAATTCTTAAAGTATGTATTCACTAATGAATGATATTGTGAAATCAACTTAGTTTCTCTCATTGTATTTCCATCTCATATTTCATACTTATCTAGAATTCCTTTAAATCCCATCCTACAAGAACACCTATATCCATTTAAATCGCCAGTAGTAGATAGCATTTCCATATTAGGCATATGTTCTAATATAACAACAAGCCTTTATCCCGCTAAGTGAGGTCGGTTGTATGAAGCCTTTCTCCATTGCGTCCTATTGAGTGTCATATTTTCATTTAATTATAATAATTTAAGATCATTTTTTATACAATATTGTCGGTCGTTTTAATTTTTGAAAAATATGATTTTTTTATAAAATATGAAAATAGTTTTTGATGTAAATATGATTTTTTGAAAGTAACATTTTAATTTAAAAATATATGAGACCAAACGAATCTCACATATTAAATAGTTTGGATGGATGAGCATTATACCACAAGTAATACGCTATCTAGAGGGATAAACATATCACTTGTCAGTAGGCTCAACCACCTAAACTAAGGAGTTTGTGACATCCGTTTGGTTTGCGAAATATTTTTATATGAGACCAACAAGTTCCCCAATCTAATATAAGAATTAGATATAATTTATTTTTCCTGGATTTCAAGTTCTCTATAGAAGCAAGCCCTTATAGGTAATTACAACTTAAATGACCGGATCATTTAAGAAGACTCTCGATTAAGATTAGTGGTTTTACTTTCCAGATTTCAAAGTTTAGGTTTCCAAGATTGGACACGGGAAAATCAAACAAAAGTAGCTCAAATAGGAATAGTCATTTTAGAGAATTCAAAGGAGCGAAGGGTATGTGATATCACAGATCCAAGGAGAACCCTGGTGACCTCCCAACTATCTTTTTGCTTGACTTTATGTCTTTGAAGTGATGTTATTCAATGTTTAATCCTGCAATTTATTTTAGAATTTATGACTTACATTCGCACGATATTTGATCGTGCAAATAGTCTAAAAAGATAGGAGAATTTACACCGTACCGGACGGTTACCTCAGAATCCTAAAAGTGTTAGGACTTATAATTACACAACAGGGTTGTGCAAAAGTCCTAAAGATAAAATGAGGGTTTACGCTGCGCTGGGCAAATCACCTCGAAATCCTATAGATTGTTATTTAAACTAAGGAAAGTGATTAGTGATATGAATTTGTTTTGACGTTGCTTTTCTAAGTGTCCTCGTCGTGCTGCCCACAGTGTTTGCTCCAAGTTCCTCGTCGTAACACCTTCTGGTTTGATATTAGTTTTAAAAGGTACATGTAATCGTTAGGTTTTCTTACACTAAGGTATAATGTGTAACAGAACAATAAAACATGCAGTATAACAAGAAAAGAACAGTAGAATGTGAGGCATAGAAGAGAAAGAACAGTACAATATGCTGTGAAGTAAAATGTTGTAATGTAAATCAAACATGTATATCTGGGAGGCATGCTCCTTTAAGCGAGCTAGTATACACTATATAAACAAAAAATTGCTTGAAAAACTAGAAAAAATCGACAAATGACCCACGACGGAAAACTCGGGAAAAAATCGACAAATGACTCATGAAGGAAAACTTGGCCACGACGGAAACTCAGGAAAATCGACAAATGATAATTCCAATAAAATTATCAAAATCTCGGGAAGATCCCGGAAAAAGGATCACGAGTGTTTTGCCCAAAAATTCCAATAAAACATACAAAAAATCCGAAAAGAGGAGACCGCAAGCACTCGGGTCGGGCTAAGCTCAAATATAATATGTTTTTACTCGATGAACGTCGAATGCTACTATCAGTCACTCGGATGTATAGAGTCCGTCACTCAACTAGAAGGGTGTCCTATTAAACTTAACTTAGGAGGATACTCCTTAGTCCGGTATCGGTAATCAATAAGTAGACAACCAAGTTGTAACACATTTAAAATTTATATTTTAGCATGCACGTGGATTTCAGGAATACAAAAAGAAAGTTGTATCAATTTTATAGTGAAAATATTTTTATAAATATTATATCTATTCTTATCATGTTTTGTTCTTGTCAGTTTTGAAAAATTATAATTGTCCACAAGTCAATTACGTCGTCGAGCGTAGGACCGTCAACAACCTAAGAAGGTACGGGTCCTCTGCTAGTCTTGTGTCGGTGAATAATACTATCATCTTACAGTTTATCAGGTCCCAGGATTGGGTCCTGATGTCGTAGGATGAAATATCATTCCGCTCTACCACCAGTGTGTCTTTGTCATCATCGCCCTAAGCCCCAAAACAAAACCGACCTACTTGCGACATTGTTTGATGGTTTCATATATAACAAAAGACTATATATAGACATTTATGTATCAGACATAAGCACCAAAAACTGAACCAATAAACAAGTGAAAAAAGAATAAAAATGGGGATGAGAGAGAGGAGGAACTGGTCCACCCAAAAGATAAAAAAACGAAGGATGAATCAAACCTCAAAACTTGTAACGAAAAAATATGAAAAGGAGGGCCCAAGGTCCTTGAATCAATCCAAAAGGGATATCATTTTCTCAAATTTTATAAATGGATCAGCCCAATAAGGGTATCCCTTCCAAATCATGTTTCGAACAGGTCAAAACGGGCCCGAATTAATGTGATAATTGTATAAACAACTCCACCATTGCCTACATATTCACACACCCAAGCCTAAATTCGAATGCGGCATTTATATTATCAAATTTTAATGTCAAGTTTCCAAGTCCTTCCCAAACGACAATCTTATGAATTTTTCAAATCTTTCATAAATCTGATTCATATCAACCTTATGCTTTCTCAAAATGAAGTTGTAAGAGCCTTTCATATTTCACAAATCAAATAAAGAAAAATAATCCACGGATGGCAACCTTCTAAACTTCCAAAAATCATGTCAATATCAAAACCATTCAATTCCAACCTTAATCAAAAGCTTCTCATGTCAAGTAAGCATGAAATCATCCAAATAAAACCATATAAATGCTCACGGTCAGGGGCAATAGAGAGGGGTAGCCACCAACCCAACTTACCTCATAGAAAAATCAAAAGGTGAGGCTCACGGCTAAGGCAACAAGAAGAAGACTACAAGGGCAACTACTACAAGGTAAGGCTCACGGCCAAGGCAGCAAAAAAGAAGACCACAAGGGCAGCTACTACAAGGTAAGGCTCACGAGTAGGGGCAGCAATTACAAGGAGCCAAAACCAAACCCCAAACCAATTTTTTTAACATTATTTGGAATAGATCTCCACATATATTCGAATAGGGGCAGTCAATGGGAACTAAGACTGAGCCCAACAAAAGGAGATAAACATAGTCACATCTTAACCAAAACGAGCCTAACAGAGGGGCCAAATATAGAACAATATTCCAAGTAAAACCTAACCCAGAAAAAGAAACGAAACAAGCCAAATTCCAGGTGAAATCGAGCTTGATCTTAGGCAAAAAACGAACCCAACATAAGAGTTAAATCGAACCCAACAAAAGCACCATTCCAAGCCAAATTGAGGAGAATTCCAACATTATCGAACCCATCAAATGGGTTAAAACAAAAAGAGAACATTCTATAGAAAATTCAGCTCAGCAAAGGAGTCAAATCGAGCCCACTAAAGGGGCAAAAACAGTACAAAACTTTCAGCTAAAATCCAACCCAGAAGGAGCCAAAACCGAGCCCACCAAATTAAATGAGAATATGTATGGTGCAAATATAAACCTCCCAAACAGTCATCACAAAACATGTAGGTTTACAATTTGTGATCTTATACAAACATGAAACAATCAATTACCAGATGATAGAGGGCTACACAAGCCAAAGCTAAGCAAACAAGTGTAAAATCCTGTCTACGAGAAAAGGGGAATTTACATACATAACTCTCAATTCTTATGTATTTGCATATATTACACCTAAACTTTGCTTTTCACATTTCTTCCACCTATGTCCTTCATGTCACATAATAAAAAACCACCATGTCAACTTCTTAGAAAAATGAAATACAATTATGCATAAGTAATGTGGATATATGTAAACATTAAAGTTGAGGTGTTAGATATGTAAATATAAAAGAGCTGTGTAATATGCAGGTAATTATCCAATAAAGAAGAAGCATTTCTCCAATTTCCATCCCAACCGAAGCTGCAGCAAATCAGCTTTCAATACAAAAAATCTAAGGCTTTTTCACATATACGAGAACATCTAAACTTTTCCCTTACTCGCATAACATTTTGCGCAACTCACTGAGGGATCAGAAGAGTTCATGTTTTTGAAGGTTGCTCAGTTAGCAGAATTTGAGCAAGGTTCATAAAGGAAAGAAGCTAAAATTTTCCCAACAGCAAGCAGTAAAATAATAGCGACAACTTCACCATGCCATTTGTTATCAGGATTTAAGCAAACTTTCAAGAAATTAAGAATGCATGAGAGATTTAGAAGGAAGGAAAAGAGAGGGTTATTACGCCCAAACCTCGCCTACGGGACTTCCAAAAGGCCTTACAAACGAGATGAACCAAACAGAAGAACCGCCAGCAAAGATGCAACCAGCAGGAAAACCGAATCAAAGAAAAATAACGAGCAAACAATCGGGCAAAAATCCTGTCTTAGGTAGGGATTTTATAAGTAAGAAAGGAAGACATCACCACCTACCAGCCCTAAGGTGGTCGAATCAGGCAACAAGAGCATTTAAGGAGGTAGAGAAGCGACATCAAGAAGAAGAAGCGTCGGACACGAGGCAGGCTTGCAAGTGGGGAGCTGCTCCATCGTGCGGGGATCGAGGGGGCGAACCGCGAGCGGGAGAAGAGGAGGGTGAGCCATCTCGTGCGCGACCGAATGAGGAGACGATAGATCAGGCTCGGGAAAGAGAGGGGCGAGCCATGGGTCGCGCCTGCTAGGGCTTGCGATCGAACCAGTAGACGCGCGAGAGCTACGGCTCCGCTCGGGTTGCGACTGGAAAGAAGTGAGGGAAGCTGCGTATGCGGTTTAGGTGAAATAGGGTTTAAAATAAGGATTTCTTTTTTTATTTTTATTATATTATATTATTTAAATATTTTAATTCACGCGTGACTTATTTGTGCTCAGAATTCTAGCAAATGGATGTCTTTTATAGGTAATTTCGATGCTCCGAATGAGTCGGTGTAGTCTGTTTCGTCATCTGGTGTCATTTTGACGGATTTATTGATTCGCATGCAATTTGCATGTGTGCGGAATTATGACAATATGGTTGTCCTCCCTAGCTAAAATTGATATCCTGGACGCATTGGCGCAGTCCATTTCATCATCGGAGGTCGTCCGAAGAAATTCGCATTTTCACCCATCCTTTAAGCTCAACTTTAGTCTGATCTTGTGCAACTTAGTGAATTTTGTGCATTTTGTTTGTGTGTGATGATAAAGTCGTGAGGAGGTTTTCCTAGGGCTTAAGATCCTATTGTGAACTTCTCCCTGAGTCTCCACATAATAGCCCTGAGTCTCCTCATGATAGTCCTTAACCACTCGACCATACGACGATGGTTTTGAGATCATCAATGCGAGACATCACAAGAGAAATAGAAAATGACTGGAATTTCTAAGGGGATGGATTCCAGTACTAGTTTTCTAAGATAGTCAATAGGAGCCCCTAGAGCTAGATCCTAGGATCCTAAGGAAAAGAGTAATAACCTCAAATTCACTATCTTTTCATTCAAATTCTCAAGTATAATGTAGCAAGTCTCCTCATAGTTGAAGAGCTAGTAAAAAAGCTTTGCCCACTTGTTGCCACCGTTGAGTCAACTTGAAGTGTGTTACTTTTGGTACAAATCAAACCTAGCCTCCTTTCAATCACAACTCAGATAAGCTGTAACGTGTCATTTTTTGGTGACATACCAGATAAATCTAACCTTCTTTTCACAACAATGCTTCTAGAGAACAGCCTACTTGCTAAATTTAAATTTAGACTAATTTCATTAGTTTTGGCATAACCTATGTGATTGAATTCATTTGAATCTTCTGTATACATGAACCCAAAAATAATAATATTTCAGCACGCACTCCTCTAGGAAATCTATCATATCAGACACAGATGGGTACCTGGAGAGGCCCCCTTCTTCAATCTCCCAGCATTTACAAGTGCCATCTCTCCCCTGACTAAACTCAAGAGCAAATTTTAAACTTAAGATTCAAAATCATTGAAAAAAATTTGACAAAAAAGGGGAAACAGAATGCTCGAAGGCACCTCACGACCCTACTTCCAAGAGAGGGACTTGTCGCCACGCAGTACACACCAGCAGCACCGCTATGAGCCCTACAAAGCAAAGAAAAAAAAAACCATCAGAACGCCGAACCGTAAGGAACCGAAAAAATTGAATATAATACCATATAGAAGCAAGTGTTCTGCGCTGCACCGTATCCCAAATTCTGAGCTCACCATCGGTTGCACTATGCCACCAAGAGATGGAATTAGGTTTTTTTTTTATTTTACTTTCTACGGAAGCAAAAACAATAAAATTTAGTGAAAGAATGAAGGGGAAACGAAATACCCTGTGAAAAGAAGCGGGCGGGAGTGATGGAAGCAAGCGTCCATGACGGAGGATCGGTGGCCGCGGAGGACTGCGATCGGGTCCGGAGGAGGGCGCTTCCCGCTCATGCTTCTAGGACGCTGCAATCACGGAAGGATAGTGGAGCCGATCAACTGTTAGCTGGATTGATTTTATGAACATCCCTTACTAACTATAAATTAGGGTTTGTTTGGGCAACTTTAGCTGGTTGAATAAATCGTTATGAATCCTAAATAATAAGTTCAAAAAACTACACTGATTTGAAAAGTCTAACCTTAATTTTCTAAGAACCATTGTATTTAAGATGTGTTTAAGACCGTACTTTTTTTTTTTTTAATAAAATTATAATTGAGTGTTTTTTCAAGTAAAAACTGTAATGATTAAAGCTTCTTTTGAAATAATGTCAACGTTCACTAGATTTCTTTTTTAATATTGTGTTTGTCAAACCTCTGAAAACGAGCTGCGATCTAAAACGATAAAAATTTATCATTCTTATGAAAGAAACTTCCGATGACATTTGTCTCCCGCTATTTTACAAAACAATTTTTTTTTTTGTAGAGGTTGACATTTGCTCCAACTGAACATAAGTTTACCACATCCTCAAATGGAAACACAAGTGCAATGTCTGTTAGAAAGTTGTGGTATAACATTTTAAAAAAAAATTGTAATACTCACCGTATTTTTTTTTTAAACAACTTAAACAACAAATTTATTGGTGTTTTTTCAAACAACTGCAAATCCCCCAAACAGATCTTTTATCAGGTCCGATGCAAAACACAGATTTCACCTGCAGCTTTTTGAAAAAACAGATATAATATAGTTTGTTAAACATAAAAAACTACGGTGCAACACCGCCAACACAATTCAACCACCCCAACCAAACACACCCTTAATTACAAGTTTGCATGTTAAAATTTAGGGGCAATAACATAGAGACCACCAAAAATTCATATTTACAAATCAACCAACCTCTTTAACCAATTTTTCAAATTCTCCCTCAATTATCAAAATTCATGTTAAGACCCCAACCCATATTTTCCATTTTTATCAAATTCTAATGGTTTGATCGTGGCACGAGTGAATTCATCGGTTTGGTTCAAAACAATCACCTAGGTAAATATCAATGTTTCAGGTGGTACGTATTTAATTATCTCTAAAACTTATGGAAATTACATACAAAAGCCTAAACTTTACTTTTTATATTTATACCACATAAAATTTTCATATCATATCAAAAATATCACTATCTTACAAAAACTTTTTAATGCATAAATAAGATAATATGTCTATTGTTGAATCCTCTTAAAACTTATATGTGGATTCATACAATCTGTGAGAGACCTTGTGAAGAGGATAGATGGAAGCTGAGGATTTCAAAGTGTGTGTCATTTTTTATGGTGGTGAGGAAGGGAAGAGAGATGAATGGAGGTGGGATGACCTAAAGGCAGAGACTGTCGAAAGGAAAAGATGATCAGAGATGGTGGCAGACATAAGGAGTCAGTAGTGGCCTGAGACTGCGATCTAAGGGCGGAGGCAGGCGGAAGTGACCGAAGGCGACCAAAAAGCAGCGGTGGCGACCAAGACTCTCTCATGAGAGGCTCAGGGCTTTATTTATAGAGTCTAAATTGCAAATAAGGTAGAAATTCAAAACATTTTTGATTGAATGGTTGAGAGAGATCTCCCATATGGATGACATTTGATAGTTGTTTGATTGTCTTAATGATGTCAGAATTAAGTGATTTTGTGCTCACTAGATTTGTCTCATTGAGGTGCTCATTTTGATTAAAGCATGCCATATTCGGCATTCCTTTGACCTACCAATTATGCTTGGGAGGCATACAAAGGTGGTTTTTTGGCTTGATATGGGCTTGATCCGAGTTGGATCGAACCAATTTTGATGTCATTAAGTTTGTCTTGTCAAGTCGGTCAGTTTGACTACAAGCTAGCTTAAATTGAACTTTTGGATGACCTTTTATCAAATTTTGATTGTTTTTCGCTCAAAAATTTGCCTCGAGATCTGTGTCATGTCACAACATTCATGCCACATTAAGGAAATTTATTTGTGACGTATCAGTTGCCCTCCTATTTTTTGGTGAAACCAGCTTCATTGCTTGAAAATAACAAAATCATATAAATTTAAGTTTTTTTTTTGTGATTATAACATGTGATAAGTATATTTAATGTTCATATATAAGTATAAAAGAAATAGAGGCATAGTGGACTACCATCTGATGTGTGAGAGGATAGTGGGGGATGATAGAGGTTCAAATTATCCTCATGACAAATGTTGTGTTTTCTCATTGTTTGGCCACAACTGGCGAGCAAAGTCAGGTCGAGGTGTGGGCTGGTTCGGGCCTTGGGTGGCCCAGGAGAACTGAGCGTTGTGATGAGGCAGTTCGATCTAGTGGCCTAGGTTAAGGTCCCGTTTGGGGCAGATTATTTGTTGCGACGCACTATGAAATACTGAGTCTATTGTTTGGAAAGTGCAGTGCGACTACTTCTCATGATTAATCGGGAAGGAACCTCAACCCTGCAGCTCACGTTCCTTCGTTATGTTATGATGTGGCTACCTTCATGTTACCCCACTGCCTCTTTCTCTCTAGCGAGTCTTACCCTAACGTCCTCCTCTCTCTCGTGATCCTCAGAGATTGTCTCTCTAGCTATTCTTGCCCAAACTCCCCCCTCTCTCTCTCGTGATTCTTACAAATATGGTGCTGCCTATTTCTATTTCTATCTTGCTGATTAACTATTGCGATGAGTTCTCCTCTCCCTCTCATCTCTCTTGTTGTGAGTTCTCCTCTCCCTTTTAGCCTGACCTCACATAAATGATGAAGATTTTCAGTCATGGCACCGAGATCACCTGGCTGAGCACAAATTGAAGAGCGTTAGCCGTGGCGTCAAGATCGCCCGATTGAGCACAATTTGAAGATCGACATACCATAGTGCCAAGATCGACTGACCTCACCTAAATGTTTAAGACAGCATGTCGTGGCACCAAGATCGCCCGACTGAGCATAAACTGAAGACCAATTGATCATGGTGCCAAGATCGCCTGACCTTGCTTAAATGCAGAAGAATGTTATTTGTGGCACCATGATCACCCCATTGAGCACAAATTGAAGACTGGTAAACTGCAACACCAAAGTTTCCCGACCCAGCCTGAACATAGGTGACTACTAGCCGTGACAATGGGGTCGCCAGCTTAGCGCAAATTAAAAAATTGATAAGACCATAGTGGTGTCTTAACCCAATCCGACAGGTGAAATAATTCATTCAAGAGCTCAGTTAATGGATAACTAGTCACAACGTAAAACCATTCGTTCAGGTCCAAAAATTATTTCGGTTGGGGAAGTGCAACCCAGTTAAACATAAAATACAAACAAAACGAAGAATGGATAATTAATATATTGTTCTCGGACTTTTGTATTATATATATATATATATATATATAGGGTTTTTGTGTACATGAATACCCGTCAGCCTAGTATGATCGGACAATGTCAAAAATTCTTCCAAACAATGGAAATAAAAACAACAAATATATACAAAAACTTAAACAGTTGAAGGTCTATCGTTGCTGTCGGTTATGTCCCCTCCTGGCTTGTCCGCCTCTTTTTTATCAGAATCCTTGAAGAGAGAGGTTAACTTGTCCATGTAGCCCCACTTTGAGTCCACAAAACCAAACTTCATGAAATGCTCGGCGGCAATAGAGAGACCTACCTAGATCTGGTTCTAGAGCGCCACCATGTGGTCACCTCTCGGGTTCATTTTTGACACCTAGGCTTCCAACTCTTTGTTCTAGGCAGTCAATGCGGGAATGGTTTGTTTGTATTCCTTAGCCTTAGCTTCCCACTCTGGGTCGAATCTTTTAATTTCTTCTACAGACACATGAACTCCAATTCTGTCTTTCTCTTACCCTCAAATAGTTTGATCACCATCTGGCTCGTGCATTTCCTTTTTCGTTCCTCATGCATCAAGGCTTTTGCCTAGTTGTGGGAGACATAGACGATCAAGGTGGTGTAATGGTCAAAAGTTTCGCATAAGTTTGAGTGGAGCAGACCAAGACTGAGTTCAAACTGTCCTTCCTCATCACTTATGTTAGGTAACCAGGGTGGTTGAAAGGACATTGAACCAATCCTGTTGGGTGTCCACCATCAGAAAGATCCCCTCGAGCTTCCGTAGATGTTACTAGAGCAGTCCAGCTAGGTGATCCACCTCAAAGGCATTTTCTCTTCTTTTCATGAGGGGTGGGGGCGTCGATGATTCCTCCTCTACAGGGAATCATTGTATCATAACCTTATCCACTATATTCATTTTAGCATAGAGACGAGAGACAAAAAAATTCCTCTTGGACGACAACCAATTCAACCTTCAGAGATGTAACCTCCTCTTGAAGAGGAGCTTCTTGACTTTGGACCACGTCTAACTCCTTCTCCAGTCGCCTTAACCGCGTGTCACAAAGGAGGTTGCTCCCTGAGGAAGCGAAACTTGAGCCATAACAGATGGTCTCAAAATGTTGGTCGCCTCTGCCAGGCTCACTAATTCATCGCAAGGCGACCCTTCAGAGTGCACCTAATTCTCAACGAATCCAAAATCCACCGCAATGTCGATTTCTGAAGCCCCTTGCTCGACATGGGCAATAGTCTTAGTCCCCTTGCTTGAGGACGGATCCATCACCTGATCCAGGTCAGAAGTAATGAAGGAGAACGTTCCTCCCTCGTCCTCCTTTCCCATTGGCGGATTTTGGGAGACTGAATGAGAGGCACTAGACACCGAAGGACTACGAACAACTCCCTTCTCGTCCATCGGATGTACATCTAGAAGAAAAAGGTCATAAACATGTTCTTAACTCAATTTGTCCCTCAACTATAGAAAAGTCAGAGGAAGAGTTGTTTGGACTGCCTGATTATCTTTCAGACGATTCCTATTCGTCACACATAGTTTCTTCATTAGGAAGCCGCCCTCTGGCTCCAAAGAACCTTCTGCAGAGCGATCGTTATTCGAGTCAAAAGACCCTATTTCAACCACTGTGTCAGGAGCCCTCGCCTCAGGCACAAAGCGTTTTCTACGTCGCTTGATCGTTGAACCAGATCTCGCCCTCTTCTTCATAACTAGGAACATCAAAGCTCGAGCCTCCTCGCCAACAAACTTCGAAAACTTTCCCCCTTCCATACTCATCCACACTAAGGAAATAAGAGGTGAATTTTAAACAAC